GATATCTCAAATGCGCATTCCGATTTGGGATATCCGAAATGCGCATTTCGGACATTAACGCATTTGGGATACAACAGTTCCAAATAGTCTTTTTACCATTTTTTTAAAAATTTTTTGAAAATGTACTTCAAAAAGTATATAAAGTATCAAGTTTTTTTAATAAAGCAACTATTTGATAAGTTGAAGAGTAGGGGGAGCGAGCAAGAAACTAATAAGCGTTTTTAGGTTTTACATATTAAAAAGGTAAATTTACATATTCAAATTTAACCTTTCGCGAAAAAAAAGTTGTAAAAATTTCTTTGATTTGATTGGTCAATTCAAAGCCTTCGGTTAATTAACGCCCATAACTTATAACTTTTAATTATTTGCTCTTTGCTTTGCTATAAATATCGGGAAATTATGGAAAATTGTCGTTCGGAAATATGACTTCGGGAACTTCGGGAAAAGGTATAATCGGGAAAATTAGCACGTTTTTTACAAAATTATACTTTTTCGGTTTTTTTTTTTTAGACAAAAATATTATAGCTGTCATAATCTTTAAAAGTTCAAAATATTATTTTTTATGATAGAACGAGTTTCTGACTATATAAATAGTAGTGAGTTTGAATGAAGGATAAAAATATATCGATATAACGTGGGAAAATATGAAAGAATACCGAGTTAAACCATTATTTTTATCGATGAAGTTGATTTGCTTTTGTGAACAATGTGTGAAGGTGAGTCGAAGTATTTAAACAAAGTTCCTTGTTCAGATGGGGTATAGAAAATAATCCATTAGAGTAAGGCTTTCTTCCCTCTTTACTTTCTAGCTGTTCTAATTATCTGATAATTTGCGTTTTAGTAGTGATTTGGCTATTTATTTGGCTGAAAGACAGTAGGTAAAACAATTTTATTTAAAATACTTTTATTAAAAGAATTTATGTTTTTTGATGCTAACTTTATAATTTTAAATATTCAGGTTCTCATATTACCACGTTGATGCAAATGATTTTTGTATTTGTCACGTTCAAATGCAACACATTTCAAATGGGTATGTTGCTTAATATGTGACTACTGTTGAATGTTGAATGTTGGAAGAAGTATCTTCTAATTATGATCTTAACGTTAAAGATGCTGTTATACAGGTGCAAATAAAAGACTGGATATTTTATAATACGGGGAATATTTAGTTATGATTATTTATCTTTATTGATTTGTCTTATCATTAATTATTATCGTTATATTTAATAAATAACGATACGAGTCAAACGTGTTTAACGTGTTTTCATATGACAAATCGCCCTTAAGTGTTATTTTTTGATTCACTGTCGAAATAAAAAATTTTCTTCAAAGCCACATTGTTTCAAAGCCACATTGTACGACCGAAAAATCAATTTATCTCGATTGTGTAATCTATTACAACAGAAGACATAAAAATAAAATACTTTTGAATTATTACCATCTTATATAAAAAAGAACTTCAAACGTTCAACTTACAATGGATTCATTAAGAGAATGGAATCCTAAGCTTTTAGCTGAAATTGCTGAACTTAGGAGGGAGAATGCAAAGCTAAGAGCCGAGCTTAAGAGCAGAATCGAGGAGTTGGAGAAAGCGAGAATGCTAGGCGTGCAACGACACTTAAATTTTTTATCACAATTTTTTTGCTGTAATGTCGTTGATTAAAAGAATTTATCAAAATGATGAGCCAGAGGCTCATCTTCGATGTCTTAAAATTTTATAGATATTGATTTATATCGTGCTTAAAAGAAACTCCTTTCCTTAAAATTTTATAGATAATTAATTATATCGTGCTTAAAACAAATTCCTTTACCTTAAATTTTATAGACATCGTGTTTAAAAGAAACTCCTTTCCTTAAAATTTTATAGATAGTTAGTTACATCATGTGGTACTAGATATTTTTGAAAAATATGCTTTACCATGATATAAGAAAATAAGATTCTTTACTGGTATCAACCGTGAGCAATGACTCTAAACAAAATATGAAGGTTTAAGATTTAATGAGGATGATTCGGGCTTAGATTCGAATTTCTACGAGATTTATCACAAGGATTTTTGGTGGACACTATATAAGAGATTTTATTGATAAAGAGCCTTTTAATTCATCATCTTGTCCATTTATTCAAGAAAAAATTCGATCAAAGCTAAATAGAAAAGGATTTCATCTTAGGGTTACTCTGAAAGATTCTGTCTGCCTAGGGATCTGTAAATGTGATGACATAATATAGAAGTTTATGAAGATTGCACGAAGGTTATTATTAAAGCAAATATTTATTTGGAGAATATATATGAAAATTCTTCCTTAATAATAACACCTACTCAAATTAAAATGGACCTTCAAAGTATTAAGATTATGAGAACCAAGAAATACATTGAAGACATTTCTGATGATATTTGTGCAAGAAAACAAGTAATGCAAGAAAAATAAATCGGTTATTTGGATATAATTATGATCTTCTAAATCTGAAAAAATTAAAGGTGTAGGATAGTACTTGGTTAATCGGGTATCTTCTTCTCAACTTTTTCAAGTCCTGTCTGGGAATTAGTGTGTAGGAATTTTTGAAATAAAATTAATAATATAACATATATCTTCAGTGATGTGTATTTTATGCTTCCAATAGTAAAAAATTTGATTAAAGCTTGTAATTCAAATGATTTTATTAGTAAATTATGCTTCCAAACCTTCCAAAGGTACTTCTAATCTTTTAAATGCATATCACTGTATCTTAAGTACCAGAAATTCTTTCAAGAGAAGATAGGTAAGAGTATCTTATGCAGATTCTTAAATCCACATGTTATTTCATATGGTTACAGTTTGTCCTTACAGATTGGAATTGGGTGTTTCAGTTAGAGATCATACATTTTTCTTAACTAAAACTAAAAAGTTGAATATATAAATTTTGTTGAGACAAAGAAAAAGATTATATTATTGAAATAGCTAAAAAGAATCATGAAGCTATAATATCATATCTTTTTAAATGTTTTGATGAATTAAATAATGATGTAAAAATAGGTCTAACAAAACACTTGATCAAGATTTATTTTGATCTGATTGGATTTTAGCTTGTAATAATAGTTCATATTTTTTTTATAGATTTTTATAATTTAATCGATTATATGACAGATGTTTTGATTTTATTGAATTCTACAGATATTTTACAGATATTTTATAATCTGATATTTAGTATCTCAGTCTTTCTTCTAGTATAATCATCTAAATAAAAAGCTTCAAGTTTAATAACCTAAAGGATTGAAACAAGAATAGGAAAAATGGCTTAATAGTGAATTATTATTAAAGTGTAAAGAATATAAAGAAAAAAGATAATGAAAATTATATTAATTGTTATATATATTGAGTAATGTCTTTAGAATCAGATTTTCTTACTCAAAAAGCTATAATTGTTAAAATTATTGAAAAAACTAGTCACAAATGTATTTTATATCCAAAATTCCATTATGAACCTAATTTTATTGAATATTATTGGGGACTGCAAAAAAAATTTATAAGAAAATATTGTGATTATTTATTGACAGAATTAAAAAAATTTGTATTTCAAAGTCTTAAATCAGTTTCTTTAATTATAATTAGAAGATTTGTAAAAAAAGCTTAGTATTATATGGATTTATATAAAAAGAAATTAATAGAAAATTGGTAAATATATAATTAAGAAATATAGGTCTCATAGAAGAATTTTGAAAGAATTAAATAATATTAAATTTATCTAAATTTACTATAATATGATTTTAACCAATAAAAAGTTTTTACATAACTTATATTATACAGTCAAACCTTAATATAGCGAACCCTTGATATAGTGAATTTTTAAATTAAATCTATTAAATATATTTTATTATAATAAATTAGCCAATTAAATTCTTTAAAAAAATCATTATAAGCTTATAATGAAGTTGTAATTCAGATCTTAGAGTTCATTATATTATAAATTTAAATCAATAAAAATTCTTTCATGTGATTTTAATTATATTTTAAATTTTAGACTAATAAAAAATATTTGATAACTAAAGATGTATTGCATCATAAAATCATGAATTGAAAGATAAAAATAAGTTATTATTTTTTCTTTTAAAAAAAATAAGTAAAAAAATTTATTGATTTTTCTTACCTTTTTTGTAAATGCTAAAATTTTAAATTCTGGATTATTTATATAAGGTAAATTTATATTTTTCTTAAAAAAAAAAATATTTCCTGAAGTTTTTTCAGAAATCCTGAAATTCTGAATTAAATGATAAAAGTAAGATTTATTTTTTCTTTAACAAGACAACAAAAAAAAACTTCTTTTCTCTTTGTAGATACTGAGATCTTTTCAGAATTTTGAATTATGTAAGATGAGTTTTTCATTTTTCTTTAAAATTTTTTAAAAAAAATACTAATTTTTACTTACTTTCTTAGTAAATGCTAAAATTTCTCTTAAATTAAAATTCTTTCTGAATTAAATGATAGATTTTTTGCTTTTTCTTTTAAAAAAAAATATTTTCTAATCTTTTTCTTATCTTTCTTTGTGGTTGTTAAAGCCATAAAATCAAGATGAGTTATTATATTTTTTTTTTTTTAAAATTTAAATTAAAAAAAAAATTAGTAATTAAAAAAAAATTTTTTAAATTTACTAATTTTTATTGTAGATGTTAGTATTTTTTTAAATTAAAAAAGATCACTAATGTTTACTTTTTTATAAATATCAGAATCCTTTTTCAAGTTCAGTAGGGGTTTCTATAAAGGGGATGTTTCTTTTTAATTAAAATACAGTAAACATATTAGATACTAGAATCATTAGACCTAAATATTTTAATTTTACATATATTATGGTTGATTTATAAACTTTTTTTTTTTATTTATAGTTATCTATTTTTTTTTTTGACACTACCAAATTTATAACATTATGATTTAGGATATGCATAAAAAAACGCATAAATGAAGATCAACTATAATGGTCACGAGGATCTTATTTTCGAAAAGCCTTTGAAACACATTAAAAAAATGAAAGCTACAAAAAAAGTTGACCCTACTCTTGAAGAGAAAAATTTTTGTGAAAAAAGTAGTGAATGGATCTTCAGGATGGATCTTTACTTCTTAATATTGACTAGTAATCTTCTACAGGAGGTAAGTATCTTTATTTAAATGTCTCTGTTGA